TGGCACAGTCTTGGCTCACTGCAACCTCCACCTCTGGGGTTCAAGCGATTCTCCTGCCTCAGCCTTCTGAGTAGCTGGGAGTACAGGCACGTGCCACCACACACCCGGCTAAGTTTTGTATTTTTAATAGAGACAGGGCTTCTTCACCATGTTGGTCAGTCTGGTCCAGAACTCCACCTTGTGATATGCCCACCTCCATCTCTCAAAGTGCTGGATTACATGAGCCACCATGACCAGCCTGGAAATTGTTTTTTAAAGGACCCCTGTCATCAGAAGCTGCCCCAAAATTAAATGGTTCATACAGAAAAGACAAATTTTTCTTCTTTTTTGAGACGGAGTCTTGCTCCGCCGCCCAGCTGGAGTATAGTAGCACGAACTCGGCTCACCGCAACCTCCACTTACAGGGTTCAAACAACTCTCCTGCCTCAGCCTCCTCAGTAGCTGGGATTACAAGCATGCACCACCACACCCAGCTAACTTTTTGTATTTTTAGTAGAGACAGGGTTTCACCATGTTGTCCAGGATAGTCTTAATGTCTTGATCCCATCAAAGTGGTGGGATTACAGGCGTGAACCACCACGCCCAGCCAGAGAAGATATCAATTGCCCAATTCTTTCATTTGTCAGGTTTTTTTTTTCTTGAGATGGAGTTTCGATCTTGTTGGATCAGGTTGGAGTGCAATGGTGCAATCCTGCTCACTGCAACCTCCACCTCCTGGATTCAAGCGATTCTCCTGCCTCAGCCTCCTCAGTAGCTGGGATTACAAGCATGCACCACCACACCCAGCTAATTTTGTATTTTTAGTAGAGACGGGGTTTCTCCATATTGGTCAGGCTGGTCTCAAACTCCCGAACTCAGGTGATCTGCCTGCCTCAGCCTCCCAAAGGGCTGGGATTACAGGCGTCAGCCACTGCACCCAGTCTTATTTGCCAGTTTTGATGAGTGCCCTTACAACTTCCAAAGGCACATGAGGCATCCTTCCTTAAGCAGCATCGTGAACTCTTGGATTTTTGGTTTTTTTAGATGAAATCTCACTGTTTTGCCAGGCTGGAGTACACTTGTGCAATCTCGGCTCACTGCAACCTCCACCCTCAGGGCTTAAGTGATTCTCTTGCCTCAGCCTCCCAACCAGCTGAGACAACAGACATGCGCCATCATGCCCAGGCAATTTTTTTTTTCAGTACGGATGCAGTTTCACCATGTTGGCTAGGATGGTCTCGATCTCTGGATCTCAGGTGATCTGCCTGCCTCAGCCTCCAACATGCTGGGATTACAGGCATGAGCCACTGTGCCTGGCCAACTCTTGGATGTTTATATGGTCAACACAAACTAAAAAAAGGAATGTGAAGTCCATTATATCATTAATAGTAACTTGAATTACTTGTATATAAAGGATTCATATACTAAATATATCTCACATTAATTTTTATATATAGATATTAATGTACAACTAATTAACATGCTAAAACATTTTATAATTTGCTTCAACATCATGTATAGACAACACAAAAATTAATTGTGGCCTACTTTAGGCTACATGATCATAGACAAGCTGATGTAATTAAAATGAACAGATTTATTTTCTGGTACTCTTGCGGCTTAACATTAAAATCTTTTGATTATTGTTTATTGCTATCTTCCAACAAATCAGTTGGCCAGTCCATCCCAGGGTGACTTCTTAATAATATCAGCTAACACATGTAAGCCATATAAACATTTACGAAAATTATACACCGAGTCTCCAATGAGGGAGAGCTCCCTGGAGAAGCAGCTGAGTCCAGAGCTGGGCCAGGGAAAACCGAAGACATCCCAAAACAATGAAGTGCTTAAATAAGGACAGGGCACAGGAGACACTCTCCAGGAGCTCCCAGTGGCCAAAGCTGTAACAATCAGAGCATGAAAACAGTATCAGATTGTAGCTTATAACAAACATCCCTTGAGTGTATACTGATATAAATATCTAAAGAAATAAACAGTAGGCCAGGTGCAGTGGCTCCTGCCTGCAATCCCAGCACTTTGGGACACTGAGGCAAGCTCAGGAATTTGAGACCAGCCTGAGCAACATGGGGAAACCCCATCTCTACAAAAAAATACAAAAAATTAGCTGGGCATGGTGGTGAGCACCTGTGGTTCCAGCTACTCAGGAGGCTTAGATGGGGGGACTGCATGAGCCCAGGGGGTCGAGGCTGTAGTGAGCCATGACTGAGCCACTGCACTACAGCCTGAGCAGCAGAGCAAGACTATTTCAAAAAAAAAGAGGAAAAGGTGGAGAAGGGACTGTGCTTTCTTGGAGATGAATTCCAATTAATAGATGTCAAAGGAATGAGGAAAACATGAAAATCACCTTTGCAAACTACGTTAGTAATTACTGCATGTGAGACCGACCAGTGGATGCTGAAGTTAGTGGGTATAACTTGGAAATGAAACAGACATTCACGTAGTCTGGAAGTATCTCAAAGTATTTATGGATTACAAACAGAAAACAAAAACAGTAACCATGCAGTGGAGAAACCCCTGCAACCACCACCTAACTAACATGACCAGGAGGAGCTGGAGAGACTTGTACTGTGTATCTCCACGATGCACTGAGAAGAGGATGTTTGGGAAAATGCTGACAAAAAGAAAAAAAAAGAGGACATGGTAGCTGTGGTTTTCATACCAAAACACACACACAAACAAAAAATAGGCTGGGGGCAATGGCTCATGCCCATAATCCCAGCACTTTGGGAGACCGAGGCAGGTGGATCACGAAGTCAGTAGCTCGAGACCATCCTGGCTAACAGGGTGAAACCCTGTCTCTACTAAAAATTAGCCAGGCGTGGTGGCATGCGCCTGTAGTCCCAGCTACTCAGGAGGCTGAGGCAGAATTGCCTGAACCTGGGAGAGAGGTTGCAGTGAGCTGAGATTGTGACACTGCACTCCAGCCTGGGTGACAGAGTAAGACTGTCTCAAAAAACTAACTAACTAACTAAACCTTGTCCAGTTATAAGGTCAGAGTTCCCAATGGGGGATGTTCTACAAAGTAGCTGACAGTATCCTTCGAAACTGTCAGGGTCATAAAAGACAAAAGCTGAATCACTAAAAGCGAAGATGTATGCCCAGCCTGTCCCTTCTTTTGTATAAATATGAAGGTAAACATTATAACACTTCAGGAAATTCATAAAGAGAGAAATAGGCTCATATTAATAGGCTATGTTGGTTTGGTGGCTCCCACCTGTAATCCCAACACTTCAGGAGGCCAAAGCAGGAGGATCCCTCGAGCCCAAGAATTTGAGACCAACCTGGGCAACAGAGTGAGATCCCATCTCTACAAAGTTTTAAAAATTATGGCCAGGTGCAGTGGCTCATGCATGTAATTCCAACACTTTAGGAGGCCGAGGCAGGTGGATCACGAGATCAACAGTTCAAGACTAGCCTGGCCAGCATGGTGAAATCCTGTCTCTACTAAAAAAAAAACCAAAAATTAGCTGGGCATGGTGGCAGGTGCCTGTAGTCCCAGCTACTCAGGAGACTGAGGCAGAATTGCTTGAATTCTGGAGGCAGAGGTTGCAGTGAGCCAGGATTGCACCATTGTACTCCATCTGGGTGACAGAGCAAGACCTCCTCTTAAAAAAAATAACAATAATTAGCCAGGCACGGTGATATGTGCCTGTAGTTCCAGCTAGGAGGCTAAGGTGGGAGGATCCCTTGATCCTGGGAGTTCAGGCTGCAGTGAGCTGTGTTTGTGCCACTGCACTCCAGCTGGAACATAAAAGGGAGACTTTGTCTCAAAAAACAATTTAAAAAACTTTTTTTTGAGACCGAGTGTTACCCTGTTGCCCTGGCTGGAGTGCAATGGAGTGATCTTGGCTCACTGCAACCTCCACCTCCCAGGTTCAAGCAATTTTCCTGCCTCAGCCTCACGGGCAGCTGGGAGTACAGTACATCCCATCATGCCTGGCTAATTTTTTTTTATCTTTAGTAGAGATGGGAGTTTGACCATGTTGGCCAGGCAGGTCTCGAACTCCAGACCTCGTGATCTGCCTCCCAAAGTGCTGGGATTACAGGTGTGCGCCACCACGCCTGACCTTGTTAAAAAAAAAAAAAAATGCTGATGTCCATTTCAGGAAGAATATCATAGCACTTCTGAGACAAGTTTTTCTCCAAAAGTTAATGAGATAAGGTAGTATGAAGGGAGACGTGATCCTAATCTTTATGTAACTAGAGTTCAGGTATTCGTTATACCTAACAAAGTCAATCTGTTAGGACGTTATTTTGTTGAATGTGATGAGTGCCACTGATAACAGGACATTTAATTCCATGTAGGATATCTGTGTTTCCAAGTGAAGTCCTGCAAATTTCCCAGGGAGGAAAGACTTTCCCATGGTAAATGGATATCTATTCAATCCAGACATAAAAAAGATAGAGATCAAAGACATTAAAAAAAAAAAAAAGATCATAAAGAAGACACTGCAACGCAAAATCACAATGAGATACGACTTCACACCCGGTAGGATGACTAAGCTAAAAAAGATGTGTTGGTGGGAATGTGGAGACATTGGAACCCTCTGACATTGCTAGCAGAAACATAAAATGCTGCAGCTGCTTTGGAAAAGTCTGGCAGTTCCTCAAAAAGTTACAGTTATCTCATGACCCAGCAATTCTACCCTAGAATGAAAACATAAGTTCATATAAAATGTATATAAAAATGTTCACAAAGCCATGGAGTGGAGATAACCCAAATGTCCATGAACAGATGAACGAAAAAAATGTGGTATATCCATGCCAATAGTCTTGGTTGGACATGGTGGCTTACGCCTGTGAGCCCCAGCACTTTGGGAGGCCAAGGCGGGTAGATCACCTGAGGTCAGTAGTCCCAGACCAGCCTGGCCAAAATGGTAAAACTCGTCTCTACTACTTAAAAAAAAAAAAAAAAAAATTAACTGGGCAAGGTGGCGCATGGCTGTAATGCCAGCTACATTGGAGGCTGAGGCAGGAGAATTGCTTGAACCTGGGAGGCGAAGGTTGCAGTGAGCCCAGATGGTGCCATCGCACTCCAGCCTGGGCAACATGAGCAAAACTCCCTCTCAAAAAAATAAAAAAGTGAAAAAAAAAGGGGAATAGTCTTAGACAAGGTACAACACAGATGCACCTTTAAAAACGCTAGCTGGAAGCTGGGCACAGTGGCACATGCCTGTAATCACAGCACTTTGGGAGGCTGAAGCGGGCAGATCATGACGTCAGGAGATCAAGACCATCCTGGCTAACACAGTTGAAACCCTCTCTCTACTAAAAATACAAAAAAAAACAGCTGGGCATGGTGGCAGGTGCCTGTAACCTCAGCTACTTAGAAGACTGAGGCAGGGAGAATTGTTTGAACCCTGGAGGTGGAGGTTGCTGTGAGCCAAGATCACGCCATTCTTCTCCAGCCTGGGTGACAGAGCGAGACTCCATCTCAAAACAAACAACAACAACTAAAAGAAAAATGCTGGCTGAACACAATGGGAGAATCACTTGTGTTGTGGAGTTCAAGACCAGCCTAGGAAACTTAGGGAGACAGCATCTCTCCTGAAAACAAAAAAAAACTAGAGGCCAGGCACGGGGGCTCATGCATGTAATCTCAGCACTGTGGGAGGCCGAGGTGGGCAGATCACCTGAGGTCAGGAGTTTGAGACCAGCCTGGCCAATATGGTTAAACCCCATCTCTACTAAAAATACAAAAAATTAGGGACGCATGGTGGCAGGTGCTTGTAATCATAGCTACTTGGGAAGCTGAGGCAAGAGAATTGCTGGAATCCAGGAGGCGGAGGTCACAGTGAGCCGAGATTGCACCACTGCACTGTAGTCCAGGTGACAGGGTGTCTCAAAAACAAACAAACAAAAACTTGCTTATACTTGGGTATGGTGGCATCTGCTTGTTAATTCCAGCTACTTGGGAAGTTTGCTTCAGCCCAGAAGTTGGAATCCAGCCTGGGCAATACAGTGAGACCCTGCCCCTCCCACCGCCCAATAAAAATTAAGGAAAAGAAAACCAGTTTTTAGTTGAAAACGTAGCATTTAGGGGAGCAGCAGTGGCTCAGGCAAGTTGTCCTGGCACTTGAGGAGATGAGGCTATGTGTTTTGAGGCAACATAAGAACTTCTCATTCATTGAAAAAAAAAAAAATGTAGCATTCAATAATCACTAAAGGGTTAAACCCTCCTTTTTGTGGTTAAATTTGGTACAAACTGGTACACACCAAATTGCCTTTCCAGCACCCTCCGGGGGGAATGTTGTTACTCACTCACTGGAGGGTATCTGAAAATGTTTATTGAGATGTAATTAATGTTATAAAGTTAGCCCACTTAAAGTCATTGCACAGGTCAGTAGCTTTCCCTCTGTTCACCATGTCACATCCACCACCATCGAATTCCAAATGAAAAACCTACCGGCGGGCCAGGCGTGGTGGCTCAAGCCTGTAATCCCAGCACTTTGGGAGGCCGAGGCGGGTGGATCATGAGGTCAAGAGATCGAGACCATCCTGGTCAACATAGTGAAACCCCGTCTCTACTAAAAATACAAAAAATTAGCTGGGCATGGTGGCACGCGCCTGTAATCCCAGCTACTCAGGAGGCTGAGGCAGGAGAATTGCCTGAACCCAGGAGGCGGAGGTTGCGGTGAGCCGAGATCGCGCCATTGCGCTCCAGCCTGGGTAACAAGAGAGAAACTCCGTCTCAAAAAAAAAAAAAAAAAAGAAAAACCTACCCACTAGCAGTCACTCCCTAGCCCCTGGCAACCACTAATCTCCCTTTGGTCTCTAGATTTACCTATTCTGGACGTTTCATAAAACTTGTGTCTACCTTCTTTAACATGGCACGATCTTGGCTCAATGCAACCTCTGCCTCCCGGGTTCAAGCGATTCTCCTGTTTCAGCCTCTGGAGTAGCTGGGATTATAGGCGCCCGCCACCACACCCAGCTAATTTTTGTATTTTTAGTAGAGATGGCGTTTTACCATGTTGGCCAGGATGATCTTGGTCTCCTGACCTCGTGATCCACCTGCCTTGGCCTCCCGAAGTGCCGAGATTACAAGCGTGAGCTATCATGCCTGGCCTCATAAGAAAGTTTTAAGACTACTTGAGGCCTGGCGTGGTGGCTCACACCCATAATGCCAGCACTTCGGGAGGCCAAGGCGGGCAAATCAGGAGAAAGACATGAGACCAGCCTGGCCAACACAGTGAAACCCCGTCTCTACTAAAAACACAAAAAAGCCAGGTGTGGTGGTGGGCACCTGTAATCCCAGCAACTTGGGAGGCTGAGGCGGAAGAATTGCTTGAACCTGGAAGGCAGAGGTTGCGGTGAGCTGAGATCATGCCATTGCACTCCAGCCTGGGTAACAAGAGCGAAACTCCGTCTCAAAAAAAAAAAAAAAAAAAAAAAAAGCTGGGCGTGGCAGTGTGCACCTGTAGTCCCAGCTATTTGGGAGGCTAAGGCAGGAGAAATGTGTGAACCTGGGAGGCAGAGGTTGCAGTGAGCCAAGATCACGCCACTGCACCTCAGCCTGACGACAAATAAACTGTCTCCAAAAAAAAAAAAAAACTTTAGGTTGGGCACGCTGACTTACAGTGGCTCCCACCTGTAATCCCAGCACTTTAGAAGGCCAAGGTGGGCAGAAGATCATTTGAGGTCAGGAGTTTGAGACCAGCCTGGTCAACACAGTGAAACCCTGTCGCCTGGGCAACAAGAGCAAAACTCCATCTCAAAAAAATACAAAAATTAGCTGGGTGTGGTGGAGCACGTCTGTAGTCCTAGCTACTCAGGAAGCTGAGGCAGGAGAATCCCTTGAATCCCAGAGGCGGAGGTTGCAGCGAGCTGAGATCATGCCATTGCACTCCAGCCTGGGCAACAGCCTGTCTCAAAACAAAAAAACACAAACAAAAAAAAAGAAAGCACTTTATATATTTTATATTTTTAAAACAAAACAGAACTAAAAGTTGACTCTACAGCCTCTGCCTCCAGGTGTCATCTGCATCAAGGCCTCCATGCCGGGTGCTAGCCCATGACCTCCCCATACTGGTGGCTCTTCCCCCAGGGAGACCACCTCTGGGTGATGTCCTCAAAGTGCTCCTTCCTTCAAGGCCTAGCAAGGGCAGATATTAATGCCCTGCATCCTGCTGCCTACCCAACCTGAGCCATGTCTTGGCCTGGCTTGTTCCTGAACCTCCCAAGTGTGTTCTCAGCTCGGGACCTTTGCACCTGCCATTCTCTCCGCCAGTGATGCGTTTCCCTAGATGCCCATTAATTTAGCTCAGGCCTCTGACCCTGCAGAACTAAGACCAGCCAGGCCCTGCCCAACTCCTCCCCAGTCCCTGCTTGGTTTTCTTCCGCAGCCTTTTCACCATCTGACATCCTGCATTTCAGTTTTCTGTCTTTTCTCATTAGAACACGTGCTCTACAAGGGCAGAGATTCTGTGTTTCATTCACTGCTGGTTTCCTTGGCACCTGAAATGGGTACCTGGAGTGCAGCAGACCCCACATATCTGTGGAGTAAGAAAACCAACTTCCCTCCTTTTTTTTTTTTTTGAGACGGAGTCTCACGCTGTCATTCAGGCTGTAGTGCAGTGGCATGATCTCGGCTCACTGCAATCTCTACCTCCTGGGTTCAAGCAATTTCCCTGCCTCAGCCTCCTGAGTAGCTGGGACTACAGGCATGCACTACCGTGCCTGGCTAATTTTTTTATTTTTAGTAGAGACGGGGTTTCACCATGTTGGCCAGGATGATCTCGATCTCCTGACCTCATGATCTACCCGCCCTGACCTCCCAAAGTGCTGGGATTACAGGTGTGAGCCACCGTGCCTGGCCACTTCCTTTTAACTTCTAAAATGAGGCTGGGCATGGTGGCATACCTGTAATGTTTGGGTGGCCAATGTGAGACGATTGTTTGAGTCTAGGAGTTCAATATTAGCCTGGCAACATAATGAGACCCCGGTCCCTACAAAAAAAAGAATACAAAAAATAAGCCAGCCACAGTGGCATGTGCCTGTAGTCCCAGCTATTCAGGAGGTTGAGACGGGAGGATCAACAGCCCGGGAGGTTGAGACTGCAGTGAGCAGCCCTGATCACACCGCTGTGCTCCAGCCTGGGTGACAGAGCGAAACTCTCAAATTAAAACTCTAATATGAGACTGTATCACTAGATTGCTGAGAGGATAAATGAAACGTATGTAGAACTTCCAGCAGAGGTGCAGCCAAAGGGAGGAGTGCACTTTAATTTTTATTTTTGGAGTGCTTGTGAAGCCTACGCTCCCACCATGTCCCACACTCCACCCGTGTTAGGCTAGACTGCGACCTATCATTTTTACGTTTCCTGTATTAGACCATCAGTTCATTGAAGGTAAGAACCAAGAGTTACACTCATTTCCACTACAACTTTGTTACCTGGTATAGACACAGCCATCTCATGGGATCACAAAGGATGTCTGAGAGCAACAGTGTAGCCCCTTAACCCATGTGAGGTGGAACACAATTTGATTCAATCTGCTTCTTAGTGTAGATTGCTCGTCAGATCTCTGCACACCAGCCAGGAGCCAGAGCACCTGTGGGAGCTGCTCGCTTGCACCTGAGACCCTCTCCAAGGTCCTCAGAATGAAGGCAGAGCTAGGCAGGCCGTGAGCCACCCTGGAAGAGCTCCAAGTCCCACGGGAGTGCTTCCTCTCCTCCCCGGGGCTGGCCAGTTCCTACTTTCAACCCATGCTGGCCAAAGAAAGGGACCAGGAAGAACAGGGCTTCCCTTCTCTCCACACAGTTGAACACCCCAAGTATAACTCAGCTTAGCTATGCTTAAGTCATGTGTCCAATCTGGGCCAATCCCTGTGCCTTCTTTTTTTTCCTGAGACAGAGTTTCACTCTTTTTTGCCCAGGCTGGAGTGCAATGGCATGATCCGTGATCTTGGCTCAACGTAATCTCTGCCTCCTGAGTTCAAGTGATTCTCCTGCCTTAGCCTCCAGAGTAGCTGGGACTACAGACTCGCCTACCAGCACAAAACCACAGGACTGCCTGAGGCAGAGGGGGTTCCAAGTGCCCACAGGGCACAGGCTGCCAATCTAGTATGTCGGCTACAGCTCGCTGTCTGCACAAAGCATCACTCAGTCCCCCTTCCCATCTCATTCTTGAAGTGCTGTCACCAACCCCGCATCAAGGGGCAGAAGGCTATCTCTCCACTGCCCAGCTTCAAGTGCAGTGTCCTGACCATGGCTCACCACAGCTTTGACCTCCAGGGCTCAAGAGAGTCTCCCACCTCAACCTCTGGAATAGCTGAGACTATGGGGGCGTGCCACCACACTGAGCTAATTTTTGTATTCTTGGCAGAGACGCAGTTTTGCCACGTTGCCTAGGCTGTTCTCGAACTCCTGGGCTCAAGAGATCCTCCCACCTTGGCCTCCCAAAGTGCTGGGATTACAGGTATCAAATGTCGCGCCACTCAGCTTCCACCAGCTACTTCATCAAATATACAACTAAGAGAACATCCTCCTGCCTTATTATGTGGCAAAGTTAAAAAAAAAAAAAAAAAAAAAGGCCTAGCAAAACAAAGGAATTACACTACAAAGTCAAAAACTGCTGAATGCATGTTTCTCTGAAAACCAGAGTACAAAAAGGAAAAGAACAGCCCAGCGACATTCTGGCTGTGGGCAGCACACAGGGCAGCCCACCCCATCCGACCTCCCCTCACCTGGAGGCACAGGCACAAGGGTCAACAGGTGGCTCCCGGCAAAGGTGTCCTCCCACCTGGTGAGTTAGAGAGCAAGGCATTAGGTGTGAGGCAGGAAAGAGGATGAGAAAGGTAGGCAGGCAGCCTTGGCCCTCCAGGAGCCGGTAAGCCCACTACGCAACCCGCGCCAGCTGTAGGTTTCCAATACCAGATGGGGCTGCTCCCTCTATCCTCCACTCAGGTTCCCCCCTCCTTCCAGCTGGACAGACACCAAAGTCCTGGCCCAGGCTTGGACTCCAACATTGGGACAAACCAAACATTTCCAGTTCTACACACATTTCTATTTTATTATGGAAAAGGGGGAAATGCCACCTTTTCCACAACAGCAACCAGTAAAATTTATCCCAAAAATAACTCGGTACAAAAAAAAACTGTTACAAAAAAAAAAAAAAAAAAAAAAAAAAAAAAAAAAAAGAAAAAAAAAAACCTTTACATGAGTTTTTAAATCCTATTTTAAAACATAAAAGAAACAAATCCATTATTGGCTGCACAGCCCCAGCCACCGCTCCCCAACCAGGGAGCAAGAGGAGACGCCTGGGTCCTGTCCACACGGATTTGCCGGTCTGTTTAACTGGTGTCCATCTGAAACACAGAGGAGAAAGTGGCTCGCACTCACTGAGGCCTGCTCCCCACTGGGGCTCTGGCCAGGCCCCCAGCCGGCTCTCCCGGACTCACTCTTGCATTATAGGCGTCCAGCTGGGCGTCCAGCTCCTCTGCCGAAAGTTGCTGCTTTGAATTCCTGCCGGCGCCTCTGCCTCTTCCCCGGGCGCCTCCACGGGTGCCTCTTCGGGTGCCTCCGCCACCACCAAAGCCTCCAGCGCCACGGTTTCTAGTCATGCCGCCTCTGTTTACGCTAGCAAGGAAAATGGAACTGTTCACATACCTGGGAAGACCCCAAGGGCGATGCAGCCACACCCCAGGCCAATCCCTTCCCTAGAGGCCCCGAAAGTCACCTCTGTGCAGGTCTCCGCTGTGTATCGATCTGTGATGTGACAAGCTGAATGTTCATGGGGCGGCCTGCGACAAAGAATACAAAGGACACGTTCTGAGAGGCTCTGAAACCAACTCAGCTGGCACCACACCCTGGTCTCCATGCAAACACTGGAAAGGGCCTCTGTGCGTCTCAAATGCCCCCGACAAGGGAAATGGCCTGGAGATACTGGTGGGAGAACAAAATGGCAAGGAAGCAACCCCACCAACACCTCCTCACTCCTTCTCAGTCCAGACTAGGTGGGCTGCTTGCTGAGGTGTCGGGGTGCTCGTGGGTGGAGAGGTGTGGGTGACCTGACGAAGAAGAACCGGTACCTTTGTCTTTACGACTACAGCCCCGCACTCAGAGGTGTACTATGGCGGTTCTGAGAAGGCTTCACAGAAGTGAATCTTCCGGAAGGAGCTGAAGGAGGGGAGGGATGTAGCTTGCTGGATGGGGGTTCACAAGAGGTTGGTCCAGATGTGTGGGGCAGCATGAGAGGTGGCAGATGGAAGAGAGAGACAAAGGGGCAAATGCAAAGTGTCCTCAGCCACAGGGGTACCCCATATTCCTACCTGGACAGGTGCCAGCCCCAAACTCCACAAGCCCCACAATCAGCGTGGGTCCCCCCCACCCACACTCACCATCCAGAGGGACACCGTTATACTGCTTCATGGCTTTCAGGGCGTCTGCCTTCCGCTCAAAGTGTACATCTGCTGTTCCTAAGCTGCGGCCAGAGCGGTCATAGTGCACAGCTGCCTTCTTCAGTGTTCCAAATTCAGCAAAGAGCTCCTGGAGTTGCAAAGAGCAGTTGTCAGAAGAGCAACAAAACCGTGCTCCTTCCGGTGGCCCAGGGACAGGCCCTGGAGGAGTGAGTTGTTTTGGGGGTGGTTCCCTGGGAGGCAGGGCAGTGGTAGTGGGAAATGAGGGAAGGGAAGGGCAGGAGGGACAGCAACTTCCAAGAGCGCCTGGGTCTGAGGGCTCCTGCCATTGAGGGGACCTGACAGGTGTACCACGATGCAGGCAGAGGAAGTCGCAAAGCCCACTAGAAAGGGGCACAAAATTAAGCCACTATCCTCTTCAACAAAGGAGAATTTACAACACACCCAAGGGCTGTTCCAAGAAACTGTAAAGGCCAAGATCAAGAGCAAGGGAACTGGTCTGATATCAGACCAGCTTGAAGGGCCTGTTGACTTGGGAACCCTGACCCCAGCCCCTCCCCCAAAGGCAGATTCTGGCTCACCTTTCCCTCTCCTCCTACTCAAGCCTGCGGCAAAGTCTGAAGTCAAGCGCTGCCATGGAAACTGCCCTGACCTCAGGCAGGCTGGGAGTTGGAGAGGGAACCCAGAGTGTGGGGATACTCCGGCCGCAGGCACACAGCGGGAAGTGGAGTTCACCAAAAGCGGTTTCCAGTGGATGCTAGAAACCACCTTAAAAAAAGTGTTGAGACACTGTGAGTGCTCACTGGCCCTACTCTGTCCTCCCAAGGCAAATGGCTAGGCTGTGGACAACTGAACCCTGCCCAGCCATCTCGAAAACTGATTCCCAAAAAGTGACTTCTTAACCAGAAAACGAGTTTAAATGCCGTTGGGATTCAATTTTTCTTTCTTTCTTTCTTTTTTTTTTTTTTTTTAAAGAAAAGCTTCAATGGGTTTGAGAATCATGTCACCGACAGGACACGAGGGTGGGGAGTGATAAAACCACAAGTTACAAGGTCTTTTTAAGACAGTACTCAAGTCAAACAGAGCCAGAAAAACACACAGGCTCCCTCTGCTCTACAAGGTACATAAGGAAGATTCTTTTTGTCTCATTGGCCCACTAAAACAGGCACAAAATTTAAAGAGCAAGTGGGCTGAGTTTAACAGCCAAGAGCCACTCACATTTGATGAGTCTTTGTCTGTTAGAAACCGGAAGCCCTGGCAGAGGATTTCACTCACACAACCCATCTTCAGACTAAGAGCGGCAGATCCTCAGGCTAGGCTAGGCTCGCACCTGCCTGCGGACTGACCCTGGCTTTACTGGCGCTAGGTCTGTCCTGCAGCCCTTCAGAGCTGGGAGGGCTCCCTTTGCCAAGGCGGGAAGGGGACTCAGGGCCACATCCCCCAAAACATGATCCGTCCTGTGCAGGGCGAACGGCTCACCGAGAACCCCTAGTCTCTTACCTGAATATCGGCGTCTGACACTCCAAAATCCAGATTGGACACCAGCAGTTTCCCACCCGTCTCCACGCCAGCACCACCCCCGAAGCCACTGTCGAAAAGATCGTGCTGCCACTTGTCGGGAAGCTGTTTTGGCTGGAGAAAAAACCACAACAACAGCAGACCTGTGAGTCTCAGTCCAGGGCTTTCCCGGCCCTCGGGGCGACCCCGGACCCGTCCTCTTCCCGGCCCGAGAGGACCCGGCGGAGATGAGGCCGCCAGCGCTCCCTCCGGCCGCTCAAGCAGCCCCAGCACGCGGCCGCACGGTCCCACCGCGGCAGCAACTTCAGTTCCCTTCCACTAACTTCCCGCCGCTGTTGCCGCGCCCCGCGACCCCTCCGCTCCCGCCGCCACGAGGTCCCGGCGGCCGGAACAAAGAGTTGAAAAGGGTCTCAGCCTCCCGGGCCGGGCCCCGAATGCACGACCTCGCCCCCGCCCACCACCCCCAACGCGCCCGCCCGCATGCACCCTCCGGACCTCCGGGCGGCCGCTCCAGCAGCCCTATCAGCCAGCCGGGCTCTGCCTTCGCCGCCAGCCGCCCCGGCTTGCCCCCTCCTGCCCTCCGGCGCGGCCGGCCTCCGCACTCACCCTGCTGTAGGGCGCCGGTCGGTTCCTGCCGCCTCCGCTGGCCGCCCCGCGGGCGATGGCCGGCCGGTTCCGGATAGGCCCGCCGCCTCGATTCACTCGCGCGGCGGCCTGCGCCCCGCCGCCGCGGCCGCCCTGGGAGCCGACCCGGCCGCGGCCCCGGCCCCCGCCGCGGCCTCCTCGCTGGCTCCGGTTCAGTTTAATGATGTCGTCCAGAGACATGTCCATTTTGTCGGCCATGGCGGGCGCGGAATCGGGCATCGGCTCGAGCCCGCGCGTCAGCACGCCAGCACGTCAGCACGTCACCTCCGGCGCCGCGCGAGGCCTTCCGGTGCTACGGCCTCGGAGCGGCTACTGATTGGCCGCCGGCGGACGGCTGCGCGCGCGGGACGGGGAGAGGCGGGGGCGCGCGTGCGCACTGCGGCTCGGGACTCGGCGGGCGTTGCTGAGGGAGCCGGGCCTGACTGTGGTCGTTTTTATACCTTCCCGCGCGGACGTCAGCGCTGCCAACGGAAGGGCGGGCAGGGCCGTGCGTGATTAGGTTGGCGAAGGTGCGAGGGCGCAGGGGGTTGGGCGGCGGTCGTTGGGGGCGGGGCCTGCGCGCCCCTCCCTCCCCGCCTGCCCCGCCCGGTCCGCTAGGGCTGGGGGCGCTGCGGGTGTGCGGAGCCCCTGGGGGTCCTTGTTTCCGCGCCCGCCCAAGGGCTGTGCGCTCGGCTCGCGGCGGGATCCCGCGGGCGCGCCTCGGCGGGCGGCGGCCGGTGCAGACCCGCTGCGGTTGGTTTTTGGTTCTTGCGCTGGGTTTTGGTCCCCCATTTTGCCGGTCATATCCTTTGCAGGTTTTCGTACGGGCCCGGCGCGGGGCTCACGCCTGAACTCCCAGCTTTTTGGGAGGCCGAGGCAAGAGGATCGCTTCCCCCGAGGAGCTGGAGACCAGCTGGGGCAACGCAGTGAGACCCCCCCCATCAAAAAGAAAAGTCGGAAGTCGGCGCGTCGTTGCACGCTGTAATCCCAGCTGCTTGGGAGGCCAGCCGGGCAACACAGTGAGACCCCGTCTCAAAAAAAAATTAGGCCGGGCGCGATGACTCACCTCTGTAATCCCAGCACTTTGGGAGGCCGAGGTGGGCGGATCATGAAGTCAGGAGTTTGAGACCAGCCAGACCAATATGGTGAAACCCCGTCTCTACTGTAAATACAAAAATTAGCCGGGCGTGGTGCTGCGCGTCTGTAATCCCAGCTACTTGGGAGGCCGGCTTGAACCCGGGAGGCTGAGATTGCACTCCAGCCCACACGACAGAGCAAGACTCCATCTCAAAAAGAAAAGAAAAATAAAATAGAAACGGGGCTCACGATGTTCCTAGGCTGGGTTCGAACTCCTGGGCTGGAGTGATCTTCCTGCCTTGGCACCCTGAGTAGCTGGGACGACACTGCGCCAGGCTTATTACTATTTTGGTGCCCAAATCTTCTAGCTCTGCAGACTAAATTTAGCCTGTCATTCTCTTCCCTTCCTCTACAGGCTCTGCTGCCATGAAGGTGAAGATTAAGTGCTGGAACGGCGTGGCCACTTGGCTCTGGGTGGCCAACGATGAGAACTGTGGCATCTGCAGGATGGCGTTTAATGGCTGCTGCCCCGACTGTGAGTGTCCCTTCTGCTGTCTGCCTGCTGGACTAGCCTCCGTGGCTCCTGTTAAATACATTTGCAGGAAATCCCCACATTTTCCTTTTTTTTTTTTAAGACGGAGTTTTGCACGTTTTCCAGGCTGAAGTACAATGATGCAGCCTTGGCTTTCTGCAACCTCTACGTCCCAGGTTCAAGGGATTCTCCTGCCTCAGCCTCCCAAGTAGCTGGGATTATCGGCATGCACCACCAAATCCTTCTAATTTTGTATTTTTTGTAGAGAAGGTGTTTCTCCATGTTGGTCAGGCTGGTCTCAAACTTCCAACTTCAGGTGATCTGGCCGCTTCGGCCTGCCAAAGTGCTGGGATTACAGGCATGAGCCAATGTGCCTGGCCCCACGTTTTCATTTTCATTTCTTGAAGAAAAGTTGATAGAAAAAAAACCAGGTGGCTGGGCGCGGTGGCTCACGCCTGTAATCCCAGCACTTTGGGCGGCCGAGGCGGGTGGATCATGAAGTCAAGAGATCGAGACCATCCTGGTCAACATGGTGAAACCCCGTCTCTACTAAAAATACAAAAAATCAGCTGGGCCTGGTGGCACGTGCCTGTAATCCCAGCTACTCAGGAGGCTGAGGCAGGAGAATTGCCTGAACCCAGGAGGCAGAGGTTGCGGTGAGCCGAGATCACGCCATTGCACTCC